AAGGAGAATATGCAAACTCCACACAGAAATGCCAACTGACCCAGCCGAGACTCAAACCAGCGACCTACTTGCTGTGAGGCAACAGTGCTGATCACTGAGCCACTGTGTCGCTCCATATTTAATGATTGAAGAGAAGATCATGAGTGTTTGCTGATATGAAGATGCGGAGCTCCTGTAATTGTCAGGTGATTATATAACGCTGAGATCAGGGTCGAGTTCTCAGTGAGAGTCCGCTCTGCTCAAAACATCAGCAGCTAAAAACAGAGCAGCTCTCACTGTAATTAGCGGAAGTTTGCAGACATACGCCTCAGAAATACTCAAACAATCTGTATACTGCCTTTATATAACACACACACACACACACACACACGCTGTGGTCTGAGGGGTTTGTTTGTGGTGTCTGCAGTGATGGCGGATACCAGAGTAAAGCCACATCTGACCGCTGCACTACATGAACCCTGTCGCCCTCTACATCTGACTCTCTCCAGCCGACCTGAAGAGCTCTGTCTGTCTGTCTGATGAGTCTGCTGTCTGTCTGTCTGTCTGTCTGTCTGTCTGTCTGTCTGTGTCTGTCTGTCTGTCTGTCTGTGTGTTGTGTTGGATTGTGTGTGTGTGTGTGTGTCGGCAGCATCAGATCTCCTCATCAGACGAGTGTTTGGTTCTTCAGTTCTCTTCATTTAGTTCTGGATGAACTTTCTCTGCAGCAGGACACAGACTCCTCCATCCACACAACACTGGAAATTACAAGGTGGATGAACAGCACTGAACAACACACACACACACACACACACACACACACACACACACACACTGCTGCTGTGTTCCTGAGCAACTTTCCACAGAGACACAGTCACTAAACAAACCCAGTGCACTAAACACAACTAGACATGGAAATTACACAGCAGAGAGGCCAAAACTCATTTCACACACACACACACACACACACACACACACACACACACACACACGGGTCAGGACAGGTCACATCTCTCCCTGTGTGCTTCTATCTGCTGTCCTCCATCTGAGTGTGTGTTGTCCATCATCAGCAGAGCGGGCCGGTGTGATTGGTCAGCAGTGTGTGTTCATCACTGACAGGTCTTCAGTGCTGGAGATCATCTCAGGTGTCCCCCTCAGCTCCTGGAGGGCCGCAGCTCTGCAGATGATCTCAGACCGGTGGAGTTCTTCAGGTGTGTTGATTCTCCAGGTCAGTGTGTTGGAGACGGCTGAACTGAACTCTGCACACACCGAGTCTGAAGCGTCTCCAGCAGCACACCTGCCCCAGAGCGGCCCCTGCGTTAAATCCAGCCGCTGCTTTCCAAACATATTTACTGCGGGGTCGAGCCAGATGTGGGATAAATGTGTCTGCATCAGGCTCAGGAGTACAGAACACATGTTGGTGGAGCTCTGGGTCATTATTCTGAGCTGAAATAAGAACACACACACACACACACACTGCTCTGTTCTCAATTAAACCTCTATATGTGTGCCGTGTGTGTGTGTGTGTGTGTGTATCGGGCTCTGACTGAAGTGGAGCATTATGGGGGATCCCCCAAACCCTAATCACATGTTCCAGAGGATGTGACCCACTTTTGTTCACTGCGATGCTGTGTGTGTGTGTGTGTGTGTGTGTGTGTATATAGGCTCTTGTGAACCTGCTGATCTGGAGTCAGTGTGTTGAGCTGTTGTGTAACAGTGGTGAGTCTCCCGTCAGGTTCTGTCCGTCTGGAACTCTGCGCTCCTGCAGTTCAGAGGAAACTCACGCTTTACATTTAGAAGCGTCGCCTACAGTCCCCACACAGATGGCAGGAGACCAGCGGTGGCACACACACACACACCGACAGGGCATGTGTGCTAGCGGTTTGGCTAACTTAGGTGTGTGTGTGTGTGTGTGTGTGTGTGTATGAGAGAGAGTTTATGTTTGAGTGTGTGTATGACTGAGTGAATGAATGAGTGTGTGTGTGTGTTTAAGTGAGTATATGTATGAGTATGTGTGTGTGTGTGTGTGTGTGAGTGTATGTGAAGCAGACTATGTTTGAGTCTGTGTTTAAGTGTGTGTTAATGTTTGTGTAGTTTGTGTGAGTGTGCGAATATGCGTGTGTGTTTGTGTGTGAGAAAGAGAGAGTCTGTTCAAGTGTGGGTGTGTCAGTGTGTGTTTGTGAGAGAGTCTGTTTTTGTGTGTGTGTTGTGTGTTTGAGTGTGTGTGTGTGTGTTTGAGAGTCTGAGTGTGTGTTCATGTGTGTGTAGTTTGTGTCTGTGTGAGTGTGAGAGTTTGTTATTGAGTTGTGTGTTTGTGAGTGAATGAGAGAGTCTGTGAGTGAGTGTGTTTTCTAATGTGTGTGTGTGTGTGTGTGTGTGTGTGTGTGTGTGTGTGTGTGTTTGTTTATTTGACAAAGAATTTGTTTTTTAATATGTGTATGTGTGAGAGTAAGTGAATGAATGAGTGTGTGTGAGAGAGAGAATCTGTGTTTGAGAGTGTGTGTGTGTGTGTGTGTGTGTGTGTGTGTGTGTGTGTGTGTGTGTGTGTGTGTGTGTGTGTGTGTGAATTTGTTTTTGATTACGTGAGTGAGTGTATGAGTGAGTGTGTGTGGGAGTGAGTGAATGTGTGTGTGAGTGTGTGTGTGTGAATTTGTTTTTGATTACGTGAGTGAGTGTATGAGTGAGTGTGTGTGGGAGTGAGTGAATGTGTGTGTGTGTGTGTGATTGCGAGTGAGTGTGAATGATTGTGAGTGAGTAAGTGTGTGTGTGTGTNTGTGTGAGTGAATGAATGTGTGTCTGTGTCAGTGAGAAAGTCTGTTTGAGTGTGGGTTTGAGAGTGTGTGTTTGTGTGTGATTGAGTGTGAGTGTGTACTTGTTTTTGTTTCCATGTGGGGACCTGAATGCACACAGACTCGTGGGGACTCGTGTCACTGTGGCGACCCAATCTGAGGAGAAGCTGCCGTGTTCACTGAGAGGAGCCGTACAGCAGACACATCAGTACAGCTCTGAGTCCCCACCACCATACACGTGTGTGTGTGTGTGTGTGTGTGTGTGTGTGTTTGCCAGGCTGTGGGCGCTGGAACGTGTGTGTGTTGATCCTGGAATGCAGAAAGAGGCATGGACGACACTGGACTCTCAAACCAATCAGGAGCTGTGGCCGCAGTGTGTGTGGGTGACGGAGAGAGTATAAACACACAGCTCATCAGACGGACGACAGACAGACACACACACACACACACACTCATCTCCGCTGAGAGCAGAAACAGCACCTGCTGAACCATGAAGACTCTGGGGCTCCTGAGCGTCTGCGCTCTGCTGTCTGTGTGCGCATCCATGGGAGGTGAGAATCACTGAGTGTGTGTGTGTGTGTTTGTATGTGTGTGTGAACTCTTAACAATGTGTGTGTGTGTGTGTAGTGTACACAGAGGCTGAACCTGCTGCTGAAGTGGCTGTGGATGTTGTGGTTCCTGAAACTGGAGCTCCGGTAGACACTGCCTCTTCATCGTCATCATCATCATCTGCCTCAGACTCTGATTCCGCTTCCTCAGAGTCCAACTCCGCATCAGACTCCGCATCAGACTCCGCATCAGACTCCGCATCAGACTCCACTTCGATTCTGCATCTGACTCCACATCTGACTCCGCTTCAGACTCCTCCTCTTCCTCCTCTGAGTCAAACTCTGCCAGTGCTGAAGGTGAGATACAGCTGAGTGTGTGTGTGTGTGTGTGTGTGTGTGTGTGTGTGTGTGTGTGTGTGTGTGTGCGCGCTTTAGTTTTGAGTAACAGAGTGATGTGTGTGTGTTGTGTCCGTCTTCAGGCACTCCTGCTCCTCATGTGCTGCTGAAGCGGAGTGTTGCTGCATCACTGCTGCGCCGCCGGAGAGCAGGAACACCTGCAGCTGACCTCACACCTGTGCAGCTGGAGAGGTCAGTCACACACACACACACACCAATATGAACACACACACACACAATCATGTTAACACAAACATACCCACACACACACACACACACACACATTAATATATTCACATGCCCACAGTGAAGCTGCTGCGGTTTCCCCCGTTCTGCATCTTCATCTGGTATTGATTATTGATCAGTTATGGGATGCGATGATCTTATTCAATACATTATTGATAAAGTATTCTGATTTTTACAGTTATAATTTTTGAGCTGAAGTACCAGCGTGTGTGTGTGTGTGTGTGTGTGTGTGTGAGTGTGTGTGTGTGTGTGTGTGTGTGTGTGTGTGTGTGTGTGTGTGTGTGTGTGTGTGTGTGTGTGTGTGTGTGTGTGTGTGTGTGTGTGTGTGTATGTGTGTGTGTGTGTGTGTGTGTGTGTGTGTGTGTGTGTGTGTGTGAGTGTGTGTGTGTGTGTGTGTGTGTGTGTGTGGAGCAGCATCAGTGTGTGTGATTCTCAGTGTGTTCTCCTCTTTCTCTCCCTCAGTTTGCGAGAGGTGTGTGAGGTTAATCTGGCCTGTGAACACATGGCTGAGACCGCCGGGATCGTAGCGGCTTACACTGCATACTACGGAAAAATTCCATATTAAACACACCACACGCACACACACACACACACACACACACACACACACACACACACACACACACACACACACACAGTAATTATGTCTTCATACTGAGCTGAGGATGTCTTCAGCAGCTGTCCTGACTGATGTAGTGTGGTGTATGGCAGAACACAGCGCTGGGGTTTCAGGCTCGCTGTGGGAAATCCTCACGGCTGCTTCAGCTTCACAGGGATTGAGACACGATCAGTGCAATGATTCTGCTGAAGTGTGTTTAGCTTGAAGATATGACGCCCGTGTGTGTGCAGATATAGTATAAGGAAGCATATATAAATATGAATAAGTCGCATTAGCTAGATTTGTGAAGTAGTGAATGAGTGATTGTTGTGAATTCTCTGCAGACGGATGCTCCTCTGTCATGTCCTGTATATAAACATGAGGTCGACATGTTACCTGAAGCTGTTGACATTTTTGTCAATAATACGTTATTTTTGTGCACATAATACTTGTATAGGTCATTTACAATAAAAGTTTAAATATGTGAATATTAATGTGTCGGGTTAATTTTGTGTGCTGATAATTGTGTCTGTAATTGTTCAATCACACAGAACAGATCGAGTGAGTCGCTCACAGCACTATTATACACACACGTGTCAGAGTAATGGTGGTTCATTCCACTGTGGAAACTCCTGATCAATCAGCTGGAGGAGAGAGAGTGAGTGACAGACGGCTGCTTCTCACTCAGGGCTGCTGTTTATGCTAATGAAGGAGAGGTGGGCACTAGTGGGCGGGGCTTTCCCCCTCTGATGACATGTACAAAGTGAGAATGTCAATCACAGTGTTCCTGCATCAAGTCTGATTAGAACAAACACAATTAAATCATGTTGATCATTAGAGGCTGGAGATATTCACACACTGCTGACACACACACACACACACAACTGGGTTTAAACCTGTTATTAGAGTGATTTTTGCATAACAGGTCTCCTTTAATCATAAACTATACCCCTAATAAAAAAAACTGAAACATTTGTCCATGCATTTGTAAATGAACAGCTCCAAATATTTAATTTTTCCCGCTATAAATGACGCGCGCTCTGGATCGATCACTTCCTCCGCGGGAGCGCGCGTTCATGGTTCAGTGGATGTGCGCGCGCGCAGCAGTTTATCCGCACAGATGATGGAGTTTCTCATCGGCAGCGCGTTTTCCTCTCCGGTCGGTCAGAGGATCCGTAAGTCTTTATTCTCTGTATTTATTTCTTTATTTATACATGGTTTTACCCTGACTCTCTCTCTCTCTCTCCTGGATTCTGTATGATTCGCATCGCGCGTCTGATTCTGAACACTGAACCGAGTCCGCGAAAGATCCATTAATATCTGAGTGAATGACTCCGATCCTCAGTGTGTGTGTGTGTGTGTGTGTGTGTGTGTGTGTGTGTTTCATTATTATTGTATTAGAGACTGTAGTTTCAGAGCTGAGGCTGAATATGAGCACTTGTCATAACCTGCAGTCATAACTGGGCAAAGTTCGCGGAGTTCCGGAACTGTCAGAGTCGCTCGAGGACTGCTGGACTGAACACCGAGGCTTCCTCTTACAGCCTCTCTCTGTCCTCTTCAGTGTTGAGCCGTCATTTTACTAAAGCAACGCTGAAAGAATGCGCTCTAAAGCAGCTGACAGTCACATGAAGGAGAGAGGGTGTGTGTGTGTGTGTGTGTGTGTGTGAGAGAGAGAGAGAGAGGTCTCAGCTGGGTGAAGCGAATGTTTGCTTTAATCACGTGGTTTAGATTTAACTGTGTGTAAATGTTGTTTTTGTGTTCTGACATTTTTCTCATGACGTCAGAAAACTACTTTATAAACTTTATAAAAAAAGTATTTAAAAGTATTCAAAATTTTGAGTGCTCCACTGTTATTTTACAATGCAGAGAAAACAATAAAAATATGAATAAAAATAATAATAATGATAAACTTTATTTTATATATATATATATATATATATATATATATATATATATATATATATATATATATATATATATGCAGGGCTCGAAATTGCGACCATTTTGGTCGCATATGCGCCCGAAATTTTATCTATGCGACCTCAAAAAATATTTGGGAGCATTTCTGCGAGTGCTTAAAATAGTTGTGTGCGACCAGTTTTTACTGCAAAATGTTCACCACATGCGCGGATTCGGGAGACATTCACGCAGAATGCATCTCTAAGCTCTTTGTCAACATTTGAAACGGGAAACGCAGCGCTCAGGAATGGTTTAAAACAGTTGTCATGTCATCTCGCTGCAGTAACAAGTCCGTAATGCTTGCCCCGCCTTCGTGCTCTTCTTATTGGCCCACCACTGCTCTAGCACTGAACGCGAATGATTGGTAATATCAGCTGTCAATCACTCAGCCAGCGCCTTCACTGAAAAAAATGATTTAGGCCTCTATTAAATTAAACATAATTCAATTTAGTTTATTTTAAACAATTTAATTTAGTTGTTGATTTTATTAAATTATTATTAATCGGGTTTAAGTGAATTAGATGTGTTTTGAACCAATCTAAATTAATTAATTAAAGTCTATTAGAAAAAATTATGTCAGCTTTGTGCGCATGCGCGTTATGTTCCGTTGCCTCGGCGCCAAAGCCCAAAGGAAGGTTTACAGAATCCAGTCAGATTGAAGCAAGACGCCACAGCCGGATTTCTGTACATCCATTTGCACAGTAAGTCACATTTTATATTGTACCAGACTGTTTATTAAAGAAAAACTTTGTGGGTAACATAAACGCATAAAATGGTCTCTCGTTCGGACTGTCTATTTTGGTCGTTTTTAAATTTCACAGCGACCAGCCGTCGAGCGCGCTCGCAAGTTAAGCTAACAGTTAACGTTACACACGGTTTGACAAATCTCGTTTTTATGTCGCAGAATATATTAAAGATTCTTTTTAGCAAGAATGTAGTTATGTAGACTTGATATATAATGTTTTTTAATGAAGTAAATGGCTATTTTCAAGAGAATAAGCATTTTCTTTAATGTGACGACAGTGTCCGTGATCCGCCATTCCAAACGAAAAAAGCTTCGTTGCTAACGTTAGCTCAGTCCTTTGTGAATTTACCGTGGCTTTTACTATGGTTAACATTAAGCATGCGTTTAGATAGTTGTGAACGGACAGTACCATACTGATTTTGTTATAGAACGATTTGGTCTGGCGTTAGGGCACTACTGACTGTCTTAGGAGGTTGTCGAATGTGTGCCCATACTGGCGTAACATTAACTTTTAACGTAAAGGGCGTCCATTTATAGTTCTTTATTTTTTTACGTGAGATGCTGTAATTATGTCTTTGGGGTTATAATGCACTTAATAGGCTAACTTATATTCACAGCAAGTGTTTATCAGCCACCGATAAACGTCCAGCGCAGGGGTTAACTTAATGTGACTTTTTCCATATTCATAAAGTGCCTTTTACATCAACGATAATGTAATTTAATTAAAATAATATCCTTTTAATAAGCTGAAGCAATCATTTAGTTGTTCAAACGTAAAACACATGCAGACGAGTGCTAAAACTTCATGGAAAATATTGTGGGTTAAAATAAATTGACATTTTTAAGACATGGCGTTGAAGAATGGAATTTAA